CTTGGAAAAATGTATTTTATGTGTTGCAAATACAAATTTTCAGTGCCGTCGTCTCCGCTTTAAAGATACCCCCCTCGTGGAAGAATCTGACCTTGAATTCCAGCATATGAATCCCCCTTCCCCCCACAGACAGACTGACAAAGCAATTGAGAAATGTTAACTGTCCAGCCATTGCAAGCTAATGCAGCAGCCACAATAAATAAACTTTTCTTTCTCCTGATGGTAACTGAAACAAATTGTCACGTTTCACATCTTTGCGAAACAATTATGACATTCTCATCCAATCAAAGGTTTGATGTTTTTTTTATTTTGAAACCATGGTTTTGACATACAGGTGTGAAGTAAAGTTAACAGCTTCAGATTTAAATGGTTATTGAAACGCATTCGGCCGACAATACAGGTTGTGCGAGCCGGCTTGCCAGCGCGGTGACTTCATTGCCCTTCCCTGTGAATAGCATTAGAGATCTCCCTTTAGCTCAACTGGCTGGTTCCCTGTTGAGTGACACTGGAGAGCTGGGTTTGATCCCCCAGTGGATCTGATGCAGATATTTACAAAGAAAGTGTACTTCAGTGATAATTTGAGCTATATGAATATAATTATTATTTTTTTAGATACACAATTCCATATTATATTCTGTATTAATCAAATTGTAAAAAGTATGCGGTTTTTTTACTGCGATAACAAGCGTAAGTGTTCAGAGAAATGGTTAAAACATTATAACATTTTATGAAGTATCTAAACGTAATATAGTCAGAAGGAGCACGTAAAAACTTTTCCAAAATAACCACAGTATGTAACTGAATGAAAGACTTTGATGTTTAAAATGTTTAGGAAGAAAGTGGAATACTGGTGTGTATTTTTTATTTTAACTACCAATACCAGCCATATACAGTTTACATAATATGTTTATGTTCCTAAAGTAATATATTTTCTTACCTTCAGATGCGTTATGCTTCACTTCTTTTTATACTCAGTTACTAAAATTTACCTTTAGTTGTAAAATTCCATATAAATATTCAATATTAAGTGGATTAAAACATGCACAATAAAGACATTTAATGATTACATCATTTCAGTAACAAGCAATGCACCATGAGTGCCCCAGTCAGTCATTTTGCCTAGCCAATCACGTACTGCGGTACAACACGGCAAATTGTGGGTAATTTCACGCAGTACGGGGTTGTACCATGCATTCTGAATGGCTGTATCTGTATGTCTGATATCAGGCATGGTACAAAGGGTCTGGATTCTTATAATATCTTTTTAAGGCAGACTTAAATATAAAAATTATATATAAATATATAATAAGCCCTTCAAAGCAGTTACTGTTTGCAATAGCTATGTGAGTGTTGCAGATAAGACCATATTCCTGGGACAATGTGTGGGATAATTCAAGTTTTCCAAAATGCATAACTTTCACCGAGTGTACTTATAATCACATGTAGAAGGTACAATTGAAGGTAAGTTCTAGTCTCCCCTGTGAACTCTGTCCTGACAGCCCTGTAGGTAAAATGTTACACATTTTGGGGTGAAAACAGGTCTCTATTTTTTTCCAGTTTTCTAATTTATGTTTAGTACTACCAGACAATTGGCATTGTATTGGAAGAATCCACATGTCCATCTCCTGAGATCACTGGATAGTGATATATCTTGATATTATTTATATGTGCCTTTTGACTGCTAGTAATCCATGGTGTTAGTGGGGGAATGGCACAGTCAGAGCTTTGTTGAGTGGTGGTTCCATTATAACAGTTTGACAGTATTTAAGGGTCCCCCTGAAGGAATGTACCTCTGAGGGGTATAGATTAGGGGGGTTTGTGTTATGTGCAGAATTATTTTTAATTGTATATTGATTTTATGGGATATTAAGTACCATTTCCAAAATAAGTACATCATTTTTAATAATGTATTAAAAGGTGGAAGTAAGAATAAACAAAGTCACTAATAGCTAAAAATAATTTGTTAATACATTTATAAAAATTACTTGTAAGATGTTATGATTTTTCAGATATTCAAAATTAATACATTTTTATTAATAATCATCATCACTGAAGCATTTCAAAATCTACTCTAATACTGAGACTTATACTGAAGTCTCTTTTGTGGTGACATAGCTTTTCTTGTGTTTTGAGGTTAACCTTGGAAACCAAGGTAGAGTACCACAAATAATATAAGAAACATATTTAAGCCTTTAAGAAGACTTCAGTGGAAAATCTTTCATAAAAATAACAATCAAGTTAATTGAAAGTTTTCTTATATTAAATTAAGTTGTTCCTGGAGTGTCTGAAACCATTTGAAAAGCAGTGCCAGTACGATTATCTGCCACTAAGCAGATACACTAAGATACAGATACACTGTGTTGTGAGACTAAGCAGAACACAATAATTACAAATGTTTTAGTGGAAGATTAAGTTTTTCTTCTTTTGTCCATGTGTTTTAATTGGATTTAATGTCAGTCACGGGTACTGTACTTAACTCTGAAAATTATCATTAAAAAGCTTTTCATCTTATTCTTAATGGTTATTGAAGAAAACATCAATACTTCAAGTAAACATCAAAAACACACTAAGCGCATCTGAGTCTACCAAATCCCTTGAGGGCTTTTTTATATGCTTGGTAAAGCATATGGTCACTAACCAACTATATTGATAGTTTGCCTTCTGTTTAAGTGTTTTTTTCTTCGGTCTGCATTTACCAAAATAATCTCAAAACATCTGTCTGCTGTGGGAATATATTTTGGGTTTCAAGTAAAAAACGTTTTTTATGCATAGAAGTTGATAAGCCTGTCTACATTTAGTAGTAAGGAAATAAGAACCTACTCCACCCTGTGTGAAATGCTACTTAAAAACCAAGAGTGCTGCTAATCAGTTGATTCTGCAACATTTCCTGAAAGAGACGTGGAATTTGTCTGACAATTTCAGCTCTAAATCAACACAATCATGGTTCGTTGAGAGTAACTGCTTTTAGGCATGGGTATTATCATTCCCAAGCTTTCTCAAGAAGTTTTAAAAGAAGGGGCATTCAAAATGGTTAAAATTATACTGCTAGGCTAACACATTTTGTTTGCAGAACACATTTCTCTTTAGTTATAAGTAATACAGTAGACAATTGCTTCAATAGGCAAGTGTATACTAAAACAGCACTTTTCCTCAAACCTGCCATACACATAGAAACATTAAGTAATGATCCTCCTGCTTGGTGGGACTAGCAACAGATCTGGAGTATTATAGGGAAATCCACTTGCTGGCAAAAAGGAATATGAAACCTGGGGGAACTACAGCCAGTGGTTCCTTACTGACATTCTTACTGTCAAGCATAGTGTTGGCAGCTTTATGTTATGTGTTTGCTTGTCATCAGCAGGGACTGAGGGAAATAGGATACAGCTCAATACAGGCAAATTAGAGAAAAAACTCCTTTGCTTTAATAACAACTAGGGTATAAATGCATCTTACAGCATACAAAGATCAAAAGCTCAATAATAATTATAATAATTGCTTACACTTATATAGCGCTTTTCTGGACACTCCACTCAAAGCACTTTACAGGTAACGGGGACTCCCTTCCATCACCACCAATGTGCAGCATCCACCTGGATGATGCGACGGCAGCCATAGTGCACCAGAAAGCTCACCACACATCAGCTATCAGTGGGGAGGAGAGCAGAGTAATTTAGCCAATTCATAGAGGAGGTTTATTAGGATTATTATAAGGACCAATGGGAAATTTGGCCAGGACACCAGGGTTACACCCCTACTCTTTTCAAGAAACACCCTGGGATTTTTAATGAACACGGAGAGTCAGGACCTCAGTTTGACGTCTCATCTGAAGGACGGCGAATGTTTACAGTATAAGTACCCACTTCTGCGCCACCTGCTGGCCCCACTAACACCTCTTCAAGCATCCCTTAGTTTTTCCCAGGAGGTCCCCCATCAAGGTACTGACCAGGCTCACACCCGCTTAGCTTCAGTGGGTTGCCAGTTGTGAGTTGCAAGGTGATATGGCTGCTGGCATTGTAGGTTTGGCTTAAGGCCAAAGCACCTTATTATAGCAAGGTCATGGTGTCCTGGAACTCATCCTAGGAAGCACGGGGCACAAGATGAGATAGACTCTGGATGGGTTGCCAGTCCATCGCAGGACATATACAGATATAAACACACACGCTCACACCATAGCTCATTTTACAGAAGAACATGTCATGGGAAGAATATGCAAACTTAACACACATAACAGCCCAAGAATTGAACCTAGAAAGTGTCACGATCGCTACTCCTCCTCTTAAGGGCGCTCCAGTCCTTCCTTGTTCTGACCCATTACCTGCACCTGTTTCTGATTACTGTTCCCCCTTAAAAGCCAGACGTGGACTTCACCCGAGGTTCCTCATTGAATCCCGTTTCGTGAGAACCCAGGGTCCTGCTGCGTCTGGCTCCATTATAATTTTAACCCTTCGTTCCTGATTCCCCCCCGCTGGTCCCGACCCGGCTTCTGGTTTTTGATTGTTTGCCCCAGACTCACTTCCCCCGGACACCTGCCCCCCTTGGACACGCCCCCCTGTCTCCATACCCTTCTCCTGCATGATTTTCTCCCTACTGTGTCCTCACCAACCGGATCATGTCATCTGCATAGGGCCCGGAAAGAACTGTTAGTGACAGAAAGTTATCCCTGCAAGGCAGCAATGTGTCACCATGCCACCCAAATAAAGATATTTAAAAAAACAATCTGTTTGGTTTCTTTCAGGAACAAAAAATAAAGACAAAACTATTCTCTTTAATCCCATAAGCTTGTTTTCAGTTTCTTTTAAAATAGTTAAATGAGGAATATGTGGTGCTTAAAGGAAGAAAATGAGCATGATGGGTGGGTTGGCTGGAGAAAAGTTTTAGGAAAATTTCAATTAAGCATATACTGTAAATATTGTACAAATGTGTAGACTGTTCCAAATTCCTTTTCATATTGCTTTCACATTTGCGTGCCAGTGTAAACTTGTTTCTTTTCTCGGTTGCAGCTACCATAAAAAAACACATGGGCTGGTTGGCAGAGAGACCATTTGGAGGGAACGGGCAGAGTGGTCCAATGATTGATGGCACCAGCTTCTCAGAAGAGGATCTCCTACTCCAAGTAGGTGACAGGAATTGAAGCCTATTTTTTCTTAAATCTTTCTTCTTCCTTTTGCTGAAGAATAAAAGATTGTCCATGTGGCCAGCAAATGTCTGCTTGTTATGGTCATTTACCTTTGAAGATTTGCAATTCCAAATACGGATATACTTACAGGTTTTACAATTTGATGCACAAACATTTCTCCCAAACCCCATTTCTCCTATTTTTTTTCTCAAAATAGATACTGTACAGTGTAACATAGCATCTGGATGACAACATATTTGCATTGCATATTTTGATTGTCTGAATTTTGTCATCAGCTTTTCTCTTTTTCATACTTTCTTTGTGCAAGTACTGTATACAGTCACATCTTTACTGATGGTTTTCTAGTTAGTAAGAAGACATACAATATACCCTAAAGATTAACAAAACAATATTATTTTATCTTTAAAAAAAACAACAACACTGGATACATCTTAAAGGAAAAATAAAAACAATTAAAAATATTCAATTAAATTCAATTTATTCTTATATATCGCTTTTCACAACAAGGTTGCCCCAAGGCGCTTAACAATGCAAGTAACCATACATTTTGTGAATACAGAACAGAAGACCAGAAGACAACGGAGGAGAGGAACCAAAAACTCCTTAGTAAGGAGAAAATAAACCTCCAGGGCTCCAAGGTCAACTGGCTGCCCAACCCTTTTGGGCATGCTAACATTATATAATTTAAAAAAAGGAAATAAATGAATAAGGGTATTAATCCATCCATCATGTCTTCTGTAAGTCAGTACTCCATGCAGATCTCTGTAGACCATCAAAATCCTCCTAAATGATAGTTACATCCACAATGTCCCTAATGGATCCATGGCGGTGATGCAGCATCCAACTCAGATGCACCATCCAGACATGTGGGGAGGAGCATAGGATAGTTTGGTTAGAACAGATGTATCTACCTGGTGGGCCAACATAGAGGCATACAATGGCCATGGTTGCAGCAGGCTATGGTGTAAGGTGTGAGTAGGCTAGGCTGAAGTAATAGCTCTTCAGTCTGGATTTAAATACTGATATTGACTCGGTATTCCAAATATGGGTTGGGAGACTGTTCCATAAGCTAGGGGCCCTGTAACTAAAGGCTTTATTGCCAACTGTTATTTTATTAATTTGTGGAATATGAAGAAGACCTGCATTCTGTGATCTAAACAGGCGACTTGGATGGCATAAATTAATATGTTTCATTAGACAGACAGGTGCCTGACCTCTGAGAGCCTTGTAAGTAAGTAGAAGGATTTTGAAGTCCTTGACAGAAATCCAATGAAGAGAGCTAAGTATGGGGGTTATATGGTCGTACTTTCTGCTCCTAGTAACAATTCTAGCTGCTGCATTCTGGATTCACTGTAAGGTGTTGAAAGAGTGGTGGGTGCTCCCTGATAATAGGGCATTGCAGTAGTCTAACCTGCTGTATACAAGAGCATGTATTAATTTCTCTGTGTCTTGAGTGGCAGCAAAACTGCCTTAGTTTTGCAATATTTCTCAACTGTAGGAAGCATGTTTTTGATACTGTTTTTGAACAGTATTGTTGCCTACAAACAACAGAACCTCATTTTTATCAGACCTGACCCCAAATTGAACTGGTGACATTGACGAAGCAGAACAATTATTAGATATTTGAACATAATGAAAACGATTACTTAAATATGAAGTAAACCACTTAAAGACGGTTCCACATAAGCCAACCTCAAATTCAAGCCTGAGTAACAAAACAGAGTGGTCAACCGTGTCAAGGGCAGCACTAAGATCTAGAAGCACAAGCACAGTTGCATTTTCCACCTCAGTAGCTAACAGAATATCATTTAATGCATTGTTAATTCAGTTTCAGTGCTGTGGCCTGGGTGGAAACCAGACTGGAATTTCTCAAGTATGTTATGTAAGTCCAGATATGATTGAAGTTGGGCCACAACTATTCTCTCAAGAATTTTAGATAGAAATGGGACGTTTGAGACGGGCCTGTAGCTGTTAAGATTCAAATTGAAACAGTGACTGTCTTTCGCTAAAGCAGGGTACATGTTTCTGCTTGCTACAGTATTGCATGATTTTTTCTGAATCCTCTGAAATCACTGACCTCTCAGAATCTTGATTGTAAACCAAGCACTTAAAAAAGAGAAGGTCATGGATTACATCAGAGCTTTCTACAGTCTGTTGTCTTTGGATATTTTGTATTTTGATTTGGATATTTTAGATTTTGATCAATTAAATTTTACCTTGATTTTTTATTTCATTTGATCTTTGTGTTCATGTTTAGAGATATGTAAAAGTGAAATATGAAGTTATTTAATTTATTTTAATGCCAAAAATGGGGTGCACAGAATTTGCCTCCCATCTTAGATGTACAGTGGTCAGAAGCTTGCTTTTAGTCTTACAGTAGAATAAGATAAGTCTACTCTTGAACAACACAGATATATACATATAGCATTATGCATTGTAATGTATAGGCATACTTGTGTCACATACTTTCCCTATGTCAAGGCTTCACATTTTAAAATTTCACGATTCTGTACAAGACTTTTAGTAAAGAATATACATGTAGTTTATTGAGTAAGCATGTGATAATAAATATGTACAGTTTGTACAGATCCAGCCATTCAGAATGAGCAAGGGATACTGCAGTACAGTACTTTGCAATTCATGGTCTGCAGGAGACTGCAGCTTTTTAGATTTACTCAATTGTGGGACTGCACTACTTTGTTAAACCGCTAGGTGGAGCAATAAAAACTTAAAACGGAGTGTGGAGCATTTGGTTTTGAATAAAAGCAAGATTGCTCAGTTGGATATATAAAAAAGAGTTTAGTATTATACTGTAGCTTGTGAACGTAATGTGTCTCTTTCAGGTTTATTTTTCAGGTTTTTTTAAGGTAAATTTTGGTAGCTGAAATAAAAACAGTAGTATAACATAATGCATACCTAATGTACACACAGTACATGGTAGTGGTAGCTAAACATAAAAAAGTACACAACAGTATTCCACCTTCTTCTTAAATCTTTTCTGCATCTGCATTTTCTGCATCAAAGTCTTTAACCTGATGACTTACATAGGGTTATGGTTGTAATGTGCTTGTTCATACTGTACTGTGTATAATGTTTTATCCTTTTCTAAGAATACATAGTTAGAACATCACTTGCTGTTATTGTAAAAAAGTTGTCCTGATTTATTGCCACTTGATAGTAATATTAATATGGAATCAAACAAGTGATAGGTTTATTTCATGCTGAAAAGAGAAGAGAGAAAACCTGAACCTGAAGAAGGCTCCACAGCAGAAATGTTGTGTTTTCTCTCTTCTCTTTTCAGCATGGAATAAACCTATTACTTGTTCCTTTGCAGACAACGCATACTGACCACTTAATATGAAATCGTGTAACTAAGCAGCTAAAATATAACAAGTGGATGTTTTGGAAACATTTTGACATTTGTTTTTTTTTAATAGTTTTCTTTTTATAGTGGTAAAGAACAATGAAAAGCTCATGGACTGTAATGTAGCACACTCTACCCAGGCGGTTCAAAGCCCTATCGGAGCATTACTTTTGGTTTGTTTCTTACATAGACAAATATATAAAAATATTCCACTATTATAGCTTGTTGTGAATGTAATGTGCCTCTTTCAAGTTTATATCTGAATTGAGAAAATCTATATTTTGTATTAATCCAAATTTCAGCAGCCAGTAATCAGCCAACAATTAAACTTTGAAACTTTTCAACAGTATATTGTACTGTACAGTACAGCGCAGTCCAAAGACTTACTCTGGGGGGTTGTTTCTGGAAAAATTGGCTCTGGTGTGAGTGTGTGTATTCGGATGAATTATTACAAGTGATGGTTTCGTGATTAAAGATTTCTTCACGGAATTCTTTACATTAAAGGAGGGAAGGGTTATTTTTACAATTGCCAGTAACCGGAGAACAGATTATCAATATGTTGAAACCATACAATGACATTGAAGACAGACATGTTACACCTTTAAGTGAGCAAGCATTTTTTACAATGTTGTGACAATGTTGTGTGGCTCTGTGGGAATTTTGCTGTAAACTGAAGAGTTATGGAAGAGACACGTTGTGTATCGCTTGTTTTATATTTGTAAAAATGTTCCAATTTAAATGTAATACGGAATATATTATTAATAATATTAATAATGGATGACCGTGGATGAGCTGTAAATTGAAGAGTTATAGGGAAGACATGTTGAGTCTTGTCTTTTCAGCTTAAAATTAACCTTTAGAGTGATCCTTTTGGCTATATTTTTTACATTACCAGATGTGTAACTACAGATGCAGCCATTCAAAGTGCGCGGTACAGACATGTACCGGAGGTAATTGGCTACGGCGTCGCGCATTGTGATGCAAGATGACGCAGGGTACCGCGGTACGTGATTGGTTGACCGACAGGGGCACTCATGGTCCGTTGGTCTGTCGTAGAAAGACTT